CGCCACCCCGCCCAGCCCTGCCCGGGCCGGCTCGGCCCTGAGTCAGCCCCGGCGGGGCGGGAGGTCACGGAGAAGGTGGGGCTGCTGCGGCCTCTCGCCTGCAGGTACAGACGCCTGCAAATGTGGAGCTTCCCGGAGCATGAGAAAAGGGGAAATCTGGGGCTATAATGGGAGGGCTGTAATGTCTTGAGGCCAAGAGGACCAGTGGTGACCTGGGGTGCCTCGGGAAGGGTATGGCCAGCAGGTCAAGGGAGATGATCCTGCCCCTCTGCTCGGCCCTAGTGAGGCGACATCTGGAACACTGTGTTGAGTTCTGGGCTCCTCAGAACAAGAAAGACAAAGAGAGGGTCCGGTGGAGGGTCACAGAGATCATTTGGGGTCCAGAGCATCTCTTTAATGAGGAGCGGCTGCAGCAGCTGGGCCTGCTCAGTCTAGAGAGCACTGACAGGGGATGACATTAATGCATATAAATAGCTTAAAGCAGGTTTCGGATGGTACCAGGTTCTTCTCAGAGGTGCCCAGTGACAGAACGAGAAACAATGGCTATAAACTAAAACATAAAAAGTTTCACCTCAACCTAAGGAAGAATTTACTAATGACAGAGCACTGAACAGGCTGCCCAGGGAGGTCGTGGAGTCTCTGGAGACATTCAAACCCCACCTGGCCAGGTTCCTATGCAACCTTCTCTAGATGACTCTGCCTCGTCAGGGAAACTGAACTAGATGATCACCAGAGGTCCCTACGAACCCTGACAATTTTGTGATTCAGTGGTTTATTGACTTGAGGAGGAGCTGGAGGCGGCAGGGAGCACGGTGCTGCCGAGCCCCGCCTGGCCGGGATTGCTCCCGAATTCGCAGCGGCTTCCTGGGCAGGGCCGTGCCCACAGGGACTGGCTCCAGACTCCACCTACCTGCCTGCCCGCGGAATGAAAGTTAGACTCTGATCCCAGTCTACAGCTTCTTATGCGTGTGTTCGGTCCTGGGATGCCACTGATTATACAAAATACATTTTACCTATAATATACACATAATGCAAAATGACACAAACCCGAAGCATTTGAAAGACTGACTACTAACGTAAAATATTTTAATGTTTCATATTTATCTTTGGAAAAAGTAACAAACATTCATACAGACTTTATAGCTACCCTAGGAAGTGGTGGTGAATAAGTTGATAGATAATTTTGTCATTCATTTTCAGAATCTAATGTTTTCTCTCCATACATACCAGCTTTTCTCAAGTAGATCTTAGGTAATTTTCTTTCTTCCCCAGAGGCCAGAGATACTTATCTTTCAGTGTTTCATTGTTTTGTCTAACACCACTCGTTGAAAGATGTTTGCAACAAAGCAAAAATGAGACCAGGTCTGTTTGTTGTCTGTTAGCAGATAAATGTAAAACTAACTTTTCTGCTAGGACTGGCCTCATGGTGTATGCTATGGGCCAACAGCTCCTACAGGTGAATCTGTGCAGCAGACCTTGGCCAAGAAGTTCAGTAAAAAGCTAAGAGAGGGTGGGCTCAAGCTGTATAATTAGATAAAATGAGAGAACACAGTCCACCAGGTAATGCTGCTGTGTTTAGAGTGTGTCTCCCTAAAAGAGGTGAACAACAGGAGCTGTTGCATGTATTTTGTTTGGTTGGGTTTGAACTTTTGTTTTTCATTTCTGGTTCTCAGTCTGTTTGGTTTAGTGGTTACTTCCTGCTGGTTTGGGGGTTGAAAGACAAGGGGAAGTTAAGAGTGCCTGATGTTGGTGTACCTGGGACCCTATAGTTTGAATACCATCAAGCCTCATAACTTCCTCAGACTAAGATCAAAGGAGTAAGCAGGAGATTATTCCTGTTCAGTAAATGTGCTGTCGAATGTCAGCAATTACAAAGACTAGATAGATACTTTTGACCATACTAAGCAGAGAAATGAAATCATCATAGTCCTAATTATATATATGCTTTTCATTTGGGAATGGATGTAGGAGCATATTTTCATTTTAGGAAACAAAAAAAAAATGGAAAGAAAATCTTGTGTGGTTTAAGCATATTTTGCTTATCCTTATCTCTCTGAGTATAATAGCATAATAATGGTTTTGATCATGTTATTTTTCTTTTTTCCCCTACTAAGCTATAGCACTACTTAGTTAATAATAATGTCATTTCCTTATATTTTTCCTAAACTTCTTGAGTTGGAGATGCTCTGGTTGTGATTTGTACATATCTCAATTGTGTCATTTGGTGCCAGAATGTAGTAATCTTCTAACAACTTTCCTATATACAAATTCATATATGAAGCCTACAAATTCATGTATATAATAGAAAATGCAGACAGTAATATAAAATCTCTGTTTTGCAAACCAGCAGATTGCTGATGGAACACACTTTCTCTGAGACCTGGATCAATACAGAATGCATTTTAAGATTCTAACTGTTTTCTGTATTTTCTATGGCTTTAATTTGCCTTGCAAAAATAATTTCCTGTTCTGTGAATGTGATCTTGTATGACTCTTCTTCTTAAAGTTTCTGAACTTGCCAGGAGAACAACATTGACATGCCGGGGCACAGAGCTGGGCTTTATCATAACTGTCTGGGAAATATACAATACCTGTTTTGAATATTAGTATTTTGTAAGGAAAGAGCATGATGTATCCCAGCACTAACTTTCCCACAGCAATGTTCATAAACCCAACAGGCAGAAGATGGGAAAAGGCTAATACTTTTACCATATACATTTCTGGGAATCTGGACAGCACAGAGCGGATGGTCAGTCAGATAACTTCCCTGGTTTTACAATTTTCTTTTCACTCAGATACGATAATGATAAAGGTAGCTGCATTTCTCCAAACATTAGATATGTAGATTGTATAGGTGTTTTTTATGTCCATCCTCAGATGGAAAGTATCATAACTTAACAATGCTGAAAATTTGTTTCCAGTAAAGCTGTTATTTAATAAACATTTCTTCTGTTTAAACTTTTCAAGCAAATACTTGAGGCTAGCTTCCAGTTATATTCTTCTTCTAGTTTTGCTGTTTACTCAGTGCTTTATATTAGAAGTAATGACATTGTGCTTTTAAGATTTTTTTTTGTAAATATAGTCTGAAGTGTGATATAAATATAAAGAGTCTGTCTTGCCTCAAAGTGGCTTAATACACTAATATAGTTTTAAAAAAAAACATTTCAGTTTAAGGAGGGAATAACATTTGCCTTTCTGTATCCATTTGAATAAAACAAAGGAATGTTACGTGAAATGTCTTGTGGCAGGTCCAATAAAAAACTAGAGGAGAATTTGGATGCAGAAATCAAAAGTTGTAAGTCTGGAGGCATTACTGATAATCTGCTTACAAGGTAAGCATATACATGGTTCTCCACTGTACTTTAATTCTTCTGCTTTTTACTGTCTCAGATTTCAGATACCTTGAGTGTTAATCTTGACACAATAATTTTGATAATTGTTTCATGCTTGATCCATTCAAAATCTAGAAACTAAACTTCACTGTATTTCACCCTACACAGAGGTTTGTTATGACCATGTATGAAATAGAGGCTGATCTGAGAACCTTGTGAAGTTTGGTAACAGTTATTGCCTTTTTAAAAGAATATAGAAAGAAGAGGGGTTCTGCTCCACTTTTTCTATAACACCTGAATAGATAGTGAACCTTCCCCCAAGTCGGAACACAAAGTCTTAAGTTTTCCTCAGCATGATGGGGAATCAAACTACAGCTTCCATCTGTTAGGACTGTGAATTAGCTGCCAGACTTTGGCTGCATTGTATTAACTATGCTTTTAAAGTAGTACCACTGTACAGAAAAGAAAAAGTGTTTGCTGAATAGTGACAGAGTGGATCTGTCTACGTGGCTATGCAGTCCCAAGGCCTACATTGGCCAGATTTTGAAAGTTTTAGAAATGAGGGCTTGTTAGCCAAAGAACCCTTAACACAGGCTGCAGTCATGCTTGCTCTTGTTTTCCCTGACTGTCCCTGTGACTTTTCAGTTATTGAAACAGTGGCAAAGCAAAATGGTGGAAAAAAAGTGGTGTAGCTTGATGGTTATAACACTTGTTGGGAAAATTAAAGCTTCCTTCAACCAGAAGAGGGACTTGAACTTGTCGTCTTTGTAGACAGTTTTAGGGGCATAAAGAGCAGAAGAGAAAACAATAAAAAAAACCCTCCTCTAAAAGGAAAGAATAAACTGTGCTCTGTTCTTTGAAAGAACTGCGATAGAAGGAGTCTCTGTTTCCCAACAGAGATGTTTTCTATCAAGTATGCATGATTCAGCTAAGTTAGGAGACAGCTGTTTACTGACTATCATTTCTTTTTTGCTCAATATGCTTCTTGGCTTGGAGCCTGTTCTGAATCATGGGGCTACTCCAAGAGCTTAATGTGCCTTAGGTCCCCAAGCATAGAAACTAAACATGTCCCACTTTTGGGTTTCTAAGTCAATTATTGGATATAACTCAGAAATTATGTACTGGAGAAGAGAGCTAATTCTTTATTCCCTCTCTGGTTTTAAGGCCCAGTCACAACATCAGTAGTTACAACCCAGAGAAGGTTCCTGCATTATTAAATCTCTAATAGAAGTAAATTTACTCAGGAAAAAAACCATACTCAACACCTTCTCAAACAGCTACTCAAAATGTATTATAAATTATAAGAAATTTAATGTATGGTATCAGAAAAATACTAAGTAAAGCACTTCTTGTTCTTTGAAAAGCTTATTGTATAGTAAGCTTCCAAAAATATTTAATTCATGAATGAACAAAGAGCTCCTTGCAAAATTCAAACATAAATAGGGAGTTTATAGAAGGTGGAAGCAAGGATGGGTAGCCTGAGAGGCATACTGAGGCATGGTCTGGAATGCAAAGATATGTCTATGAAAGGCAAAGTTCCCTTGTAGTTGAATCTGAGAAAAGATGCCAAAAGCAGCAAGGTAAAGTCCTTCAGTACACAAGTAGCAAAAGCAAGAGTAGGGGAAATGTGGACATATTGCTGAATGGGGTAGTGGCCCTTGTGGCATGGGATATGCAAAAGGCATTGCCATCTTCACCTCAGTCTTTACTAATAAGACCTGCCTTCAGAAATCCCAGATACCAGTGGGAAAGAGTGGAAGGAAAACATTTGGTAGAAGAAAAACCTTTGGTAGAAAAAGGTGAGGTCAGAGCACACAGAAGCAAACTGGACATATGTAAGTCTACATGTCCTATTGGGAGATATCCAGGACTACCAAGAAAGCTGGATGATGCCATTGTGAGACCAGTTGATAATTTTGATTTCATAGTGGTGGCTGGGAGAAGTGCCTGAAGATGGCAGACAAGTAAATGTAACTCTTCAAAAAAATCAGGAGAAGGAGAAACAAGGGAGCTACAGGCTGGTCACCCTCACTCTTATCCCTATGATGGTTGATGGAGTAGCTAATCCCAGAAACCATTTCCAGGCACATGAAGAACAAAGGTGGTCAGCATGGATTTGCCAAGTCATGCTTGACCAATCTAATATGATCCTCAGGTGCCTCCATGGGATAACTGGCTTGGTAGATGAGAGTAGCATCCTCATTACTGGGTGCTGGAGCAGAGTGTATCTACTGCAAGCTCGCTGAAGATGCAAAACAGGTGGGTGTAACACACCAGAGGGTCCTACTGCCATCTAGAGAGATCTGGACATGCTGGAGAAATGGACTGACAGAAACCTCTTGAAATTTGACAGGAATTTCAGAGTCCTGCAGCTGGGGAGGAGCAACCAACCCCAGGCACCATTACCTGCTGGGGGCTGAGCCACTGAAAAGCAACTTTGCAGAAAAGGACATGGGGGTATTGGTGGACACCAAGTTGATCATGCACTTTGTGGCAAAGAAGACATACGATATCCTGAGTTGCAGGTTGAGAGAGGTGATCCTTCCCCTCTACATTGATGCCTTAGGGGAAGTATTGTGTCCAGATCTGGGCTCCTTGAGACAAAAGAAACAGGAATACTTTTAAAAGGTGTCTACATACTTGTATTTTCTATCTGATAAGAGATCAAAAATTTGATGTTTATCTATTAGCTACATGAAATTTATCTAAGTCAATAAGTTTATCTATTTTTTTTTTTGTGAATTATGTCTGAGTTCTTTCAATATACAGAGGCAAAATTTTGAAAATTATGATTATTTAGAAATTTTATGGCAAAGAGTTTTTTATTTTGTCATGACAACAGAGCAGTTCTTTGAAATCAAAAATTTCTGCACGAATTCAAATACTAGGAGTAGAATTTTTGGTCACAGTAGAGTACACAGAGAAACAATTTCCATCTCATTAGGACTAAGGTATTTACATGAGTTGCAAAGAGCAGTGTCTGATGCTGCTTTGCCTAGGTCAGAGTAGAAGACTGTAACCAAGGGGAATACTTCCATGGGAGTAGTTAGTTCAATAAAGGGTAAAGGCTGTTTCTGACAAGTTTCTCACTTGGAACATTCTTGGTTTTGTTCCAATGCAATGAGAGACATTTTTTTTATTTATACTCTCAAAAAAACTGTGGAATAGGAACTAATTTCCTACACAGCTCTGCTGATATAATGTTATGAGCACTTGTTTGGCTTCTTTCCCACACAAGAGAGCTCCCACAAAGGTTCTGTGGTTCTCAGATTTTCCATTTGTAATAATTTACATAGAGATTGTATACGTCTAGAGAAGGATAATTTAAGTACCATCTGGATAGAATCATAGCAACTCTTTTGCTATAATTTGTATTTAATAACTTCAGCCTAAGCTGAAGAGATGATGTCTAATGCTATTGAAAGAAAGTAGTTGCAGTATATGAGATCATGCTTTTATCACTACAGATGCCAAGGAACATTAATAGCTAATTGAATTCTTTATCTATCTTGTGATATTTGCCACCCACATCTGAGACAAGCAAATAATTTAAGTCTCAGGAAACAGGTTTTGATGATCAGACTTTCTGCATACCAGACTCTTTTTAGAGCCATCAAAAAAATTTCCTGGCTTTGCTCTGCAAGCGTGATTTTTCCTCTTAAATGAACTGAACTTGTCATTAGGGTCATAGGTCTCCAAGCTGTCACTTTGATAGATCAAAAACTCTTGCTTTTTCTACTGATCAAACCTACTCTTAGCCCAGCCAAAAAGATACCCACTTGAGGTCTTACCCAGTAACTTACAGGTTGTCAAAGGACTAAGTCTCAGGGGATATGATTTATAGTTTCAGATGGTAAATATGGTATACAGGAAGAAAAATTAAAATTAGGACAATTATCTGAACTACCTAGTAAACTTCCTCCTTGGGCTTGTCACTTCTGTTTTTATTGGTCCTGGAAGACTTTATACTGCACTCTAATCCTTCTTCATATAATAATGTCATAATATAATACAGTCTTGATATGAGTCTAGCATTTGCTGCCTCTATTGAAATACAAGTTTAGGCTCTGATCCAGCAGATGGAAATGCTAGCTGAGAGTCATAAGTCAGACACAGAGGTAATTTCCCTACATCTGTGCCTTCATTTAAAATGAAAATATGTGGCATATAACTCACTTTGGCCATTTTATTCTGCTGTTTGGCTTGGAGGCCTTTAGTGTAGATGTTTTCTAGGTCTGAAACAGGTGAAAAGCATGGCTCAATATGCGGGACTGCAGCTGATGTCTCAAGAATCAGAGCAAACTTCTTTTTCAGCCAATAAAAACATAAAAAGTTTTCTGAAAATCTGATTTCTTTTTCTGTGACAAAGAGCCTACAGAGGCGTAAGTTCAGCCACAGCTGGATGCTTATATTTGTTTACTGAATTTGGTCTTAGGGCTTGTCCTACGTGTAGTTTGCCTATGCTTTTATCTTTACACAGCCATATGGTGCAATTGACTTTAAGTGGTTTAATGACTTGTATGCCATTAACAAATGTGTTTTGGGAGAAATAGAAACATTTTTACATGATTAAGAAATTATTCAGTAAAGGTGGCTGTGTAGCTGAGGAGCAATGAGAGAAGAATCTGGTCCTAACATCCATTTCTGGCTAAAGCAGCAGTTCTGATTTTTCTTTCTTCCTTCATTTCTGCCCTTTGCTCAGTCTAATGACCTTGCCATCTCTGGTTCTTACCTAATTCCTTGAGTAGCCAGTTCAACTCTGTAGCCAGAAGAAATGTATTAATCTTGTGATTATTTAATTTTCAGCTCTTAGTGAGCTCTATTTAGGGACTGGAACTGGCTGTGGAAGAAATCAAACACCAGAGAGAGCAGGAGGAGAGGAGCATTCTGGCTGGTAGCAGAGGAGTTCTCATGGAACTTCAAAGTGAGGGAGACTGATAATGGGAGAAGTCATTGCAGAACCAGAATTAAGAGGACTCTTAAATACAGCTGTTAGACAGCTTTATGACAAAGTTATGTCCAGAAGGGATTAGGGATTGGCCCTTGAAGATGAGTAGGTGGAGGCAAGCATGGAACAACATCTAGTTGTTCAGGAGACACTCTAGAATTCATGTCTTCTGTATGGTGTCATGGGGAACTTGTCTGTTGTATATACCACAGAACAAGAAATCTGATTCACAAAGATTATCAGCATGTTTGCACATCTTGAACTGCAGTACTGTCTAGATTCTGGCTTGTTCAGTAGGAAACAGTAAAATTACAACGGTATGTTAGCTAAGAACTGAAAACTGTATCATGATTCAAGCATTTAGTACTAATGAACAATGGGTATATTGTGTCTCAAAAGCTGTTGGATTAAATATGATGCATGAGTGCCGAGGAAAACAGAAACTGTTGAAGTTGTACCTCATTTAAAGTTTTTCACTTCTTCATTGCCTGTATGGTGTATTTCTTCTTTTTTGTGTATAATAGGCATGAAACATTGCAACACAATTTATCACAGCTGTTTTATGTACACAACAACTGTACTCCTTTACTGGAAAAGACTAAAGGATTCACAAAACATTATTGAAAAGAAACTGTATGAACAACATGGTCTAATCAGATTAGACCTTTTCATATATTTCCCTCATTCTCTCTATGTATGCCTTTTTTCTATGTTTTATGCTCTGTATTTGGTTTCCATCTTCTTCCCACTCCCTTATATGGAGTGACTGAAGTCTTAGTTTGCTTTTCTCATCCATGTTTTGCCTTCCATTCTCAAAAAAGTATTTTAATATAACTTGATAACATCTTGTATTTGTCTGTTACTAAGGGAATATATACAAAAAGGTACATAAGAAAAGAAAGTTAGAATTCAGTGTGCCCATGTATGTGCCTACCTTTCAATGCTTTTTTCATTCATTTTGTTGCTTATTTTCCCACCAGTGACAAAATACAGTACCAAGAGCCAAGGCTATCCAATGCTTCCTGGTACAGGGTCTATTTTCAGGTTGTTATAACTTTATCAAGCATTAGCCATTTGAGATGAAAGCTTTACGGCTTCACATCCTACCCATCATGATAGCATAAGTATTCCATTCTTCTTCTAACATTTGTTGACTGGTTTTTTTTGTTTGTTTTTATGTTGTTTTATTTTTTTTAAACATTAGAGGAGAGAAAGAAATTGATTTGATTTCTTGTTAATGCCAGATAATCAGGGTATTTCCTAGAACATGAATAGTGAAGAATATTTTTCCTTCTTTTGCCAGAGCTAACAATTCTTGTGCCTTTTTATCTGAATTTTTTTCTGGCAGCTGGAGTCTCATTTTGAAGGCATTTTGAATAGGAGTCAATGGCTATATTCAACAAACAACCTAAATGGAAGTACTGATCTCTTCTTGGATTGTCTTGTGGTTTAGGGCCTTCAGCTGTTCTTGAAGTATGGGACAGCCTTGTCTAATACTTCTTATTTTTATACCAAATCTCCCATACAAATCCTGTAACCTTTAAGGTAAGGAAACAATCTGTCCCATCATGTATGTACTTAAAATATTTTGTATGGAACAGAACATCTTTGACAAAAAAATGTTCTTTTTCTAATATATCCCTTTCTGTGCAGAATCCCTGCTGTGAAGGAGCAACCCCTGCTTTGGGATAATTACCCATTGCATTTGATGTGGAATAATTGTGAGTGTAGTCACACTTAGAATATATAAACTGGGCCATTTCTATATTCCCTGGCAACTTTATTATGCACTAGTGGGTAAAGTTTGAGAAGAAAATATACCTTTCTTTCCTGGTTTTGTAAATGACCCCTGAAAATGGCTGTTTTGGTTTGGGTTTTTTAATAAAGCCTATTTGTCAGATTCAGCCCAGCATCACAGATGCCATTAGGGTTGAATGTAAAATTTCTTTTTTGTTAAATCAATTATTCCCTCCAAAAGTGCATCCAACTGTAATTCTAATATTTCTAATCTGTTTAATGAATACTCGAATTTTTGCAGGAAATAAGTCTGGGATTTCTCTTTTCATGTTTAGTAAAGAACAGATGAATTTAATTATAATCTTATAATTGTTATGATACAATTATTATGATTATTAGAGAGAGATTCCTCTGCTCAAATTAAGATGCAAGTAAGACCGTATGCCAAAGCCAATAGTACAGATTTTATTTAACTGTGAATAGGAAATAGAGAAAGAGAGGAAGAAGTAGGAAAGAGAGTGGAGGAGGGAGAAGGAGACAGAAATAGGAAAGGGAGGGCAGGAGGGAGAAGGAGAGACAACTTAAGTAGAGTCACCACCCCTGTGGATCCAGTAGCATCCCACTGGTCCTTTTCACCCAGGGCTTGTTGGTGCTGGAGGTCCCTTGAAACACAGAGTTCTTGGATTAATGTAGTTCAGGCACAGGTGGGAATGCCCAAGTACCTCCCCTGAGGTGGGGGATGTTTTACACTGTCTTTTGCAACAATGAATCTGTTGCAACACCTGAATCAAGTGCAGTCCTCTGGTGGAAGGCCTCGGGACCTCTCCTTAGACCTGAGATACTTGGACAACAGTACGGCCTTTATCTTATCTCAAGTCCCTGTCAGGTGGCTGAACTCACTGTCCAGTTTCCTGAAATCACAAGGCATATACCCACAGGGTTGAGCTTCAGTGGTTGTAGATGTGCAGTTTCTTCTTTGCACAGTTTCCTGCAGTGGGCAAAGTCCTTTGGTGGTCTTAGCAGTGCTTAAGACAATTACAATTTTTAAGTCTATAATAACAACAACAACAACAACAATAATAGTAACAGCATTTGAAAAATTGTACTCTCAAAAACGTGTCACAATTTGGTAGCTCAGCTTGAAACCTGTCAATACCATGTAGTTTAGGATTCACCATAAGCTCAGTAACCTGCAAAGGATACATGACTGAATAATGCATTTGGGATAAAAAAAAAAGAAGTACAGTCACCTAACTTAATCTCTTGAAATCTGATTTTTCTGTTTTTCAGTATTCATGTCTAAAATATGAAGAATAAGTCTTCCTTAAATCCATGATATTTAAAAAAGAATTAATTAAAAAAATCAAGAATCCAAGAGCTTCACAAGCAGCAAGGGACAAACTTCATTAATATCTGAAATAGACACCTTGCTCTGGAGCAATTAAATAGAGACTCAGTTTCAACATTTCTTATTTTCTGATTTAAGTAAAATAAATTATATTTATTTATTATTTATTACCTTATCTTTTCTATTGCGGGGATGCCTTGTTTAAACCAGATAAATCACTTAAGGTTTTGATCCACTGAGATAATTATGAGAAGTTTTTCTGTCACCAATGTGCCTTGCATCTGATGGCCAGCTACATCAAACAACAAGAAGTTTTTTTTACCAAATGCTGCTATGCTTTTAAAGGTCTGCTCAGCCCTGCAAATACATATTCCACTGCTTTTGGCAGAAGAATGCTGAATTTTCCTTTAAATTCAATTTGCAATTCAAATCATGTCTTCAAAACAGGATTATCAAACATCAGGTTCATGCAGGATTCCTAAAACATCTTAATGCAAGTTGGCAGTCGCTTATCACACATTATTAAGCAGTTTTCAGAAATCACAATGTTGTCACTGTAATTAGAAGCCTCTTTATATTGTACTACATAAGTGGCTTATTAATCTGAAAAGAAAGTTATTAATAGAAGGGTCTTAATTGCTATAATTACATTAAAAGTAGTCTTGCTATAAAGCCTGAAAGCTCTAGATGCTTTACAGACTTTTTTGTCTTTGCATGATCATTATGAAATGCCAGTGATTTTAAATTAGCTTTCAGAGATAAGTATGATTTAAATTGTAAACTCTGCATTACTCTATGTAGTATAGCCTGAAAATACCTTCTGCTTTGAGATTCTAATATAACTAAGGATAAAATTCTACCAAGACTGCCATCACAATTTTGTGGGTTTTTTTTTTGTTGTTGTTTGATTTTTTTTGTCAGAGTATTAATTAATGACTTTCTTTTCTTTTTTGAAGGGTAAGTGAACCTGGTGCGAAGCAGATCATTCAACTACCAACTACAGCATCATCTTAGAATTACACACATTGTAGTCTTGGCATGCTTCAAGGGTCAGCAAAGGGAAAGTGATACTGTTCTCAAAATAATTATTTTTTGTAAGTATTTTTAAGGTTCTCACCTATAAAGAAAGTAAGAATTGAATTTGGAAAGCCAGATCAGACTTCCAGAGCTGCTGCTGCATGGATTAGAGTGGGATTTGCAGCTATGTCCACTCTCATTCACAGTTACCCATGATTTGTCACAGCATACAATTGATGGAAAAAGAATATTTCACAGAATCATTCATATTGGAAGGGTGCTCATGCTCATTTACTCCAGCCTCTTGGCCAGAGCAGGATAAACAATCAGACAGTATTGCTCAGGGCTTTGTCCTCCTGGGTCTTGAACACCTCCAAAGATGGAGTTCATGCAACTCCTCTGGGCAACCTGCTCCAGTGTTTAATTATAATGTTTTCCTTGTATAGTCAGGATGTCCCATCTTTTGAGTTTATGGACACTGTTCCTCATTTTCCCACTGCACCTTAGGAAAGAGCCTGACTCTGTCTTCTTGATAGTCCCTAAGTTCCACTGCAGCTGTCTCTTCTGAACAAGATAAATAAGCTCAGCACCCTCAGCCTCTTTTCACAAGGCATATGCTCCAGTCATTGATGATCTTGGTGCCCCTTTGCTGAATCTCACCAGCTGGTCAATGTTTTTAATGTACTGAGGGCCCCAAACTGAATGTGGGGAGCCCCTCTCAAAGTGATTTAACAAGGGCCAAGTTGAGGTGATTGATCATTTCCCTTGACTGAAAAGAAAGCCGCAGTCTTTTTTTTTCCTTTACAACCCAGGATGCAGTTAGCCTGAAGAATCACACATGTATTTTTTAGCCCATTGTGGTTTAACCCCAGGTAGCAACAAAGCCCCATGCAGTTGCTCACTCACTCCCCCTCAGTGCTGTGGAATCAGAAGGGTAAAACTGAGGAAAACTTATGAGTGAAATAAAAGCCATATAATAAGTAAGATAGACAAAGGGAAAAAGCAAGGAAAAAACCCAAACAAAGAGAAAGGAAAATAAAATCCAAGAATCTTTCATAACAGTGTGAAAAAACCCAATTGCTCACCACCAACTGACCCCACCAGCTGCCCCCACCAACCTTCCTCTCTCAATTTTGCTGCTGAGAACATCTTATGATCAATCTGGAATATCTTTGTGGTCAGTAGATGTCATCTGTCCTGTCTGTCTTCCCTCCAAGAATCTTATGCACCCCCCAAATTGTTCACCTGCCTCTGAATCATTCCCCCATCATGGAAAAAAGAATCAGACCCTCTAGAGTTGCTCCAGGTCTCCCTCAGTGCCCGTGTGGATAAGCAATGAGAAATATTAGTCTGAGGACACAATAAACCCCAGCAGTTTCTCCATAATGTCCTTAATCAACACATTCATTAATCAATAGCAATATTCATTGCTATTTCATCTCGGTGCTAATGCATATTTCAGGCTCCAGAGTCTCCCCAGTGAAGCTTGTGCCAATTTTTTGACTACCAGGGCACTCTAAGCTCAGATCTGAAGGCAGAGGAGGACCTATTCTGTTGGTGTCAGAAGGCATAATCTTGCAGTTCTTACCTCTGGAGGGGTCTCCATCCACCATGGGTTCAAGCATGGTCTTATGCCATGCTTACTCATGGTGTGGCTCAGGCTGTTGCCACTGTAAGGTGGTCAGGAAGACCTGGTGCTCTTTTCTTCCTTCTCCATGATAGTGTGCAGTAACCTTGGCTCCCAACCCCTTCACCTGGCAGCCTCAACAAAGCACACCTCCCACATTAACCCCATTACCATTAACCTCAGTGCAGGCTCCTTTCAGCCTGTCACCTGGCCACAACATGTTCACTTGCCCTCCAGGCTGTCATCAAGATTGAGGTCTTTTGTATGCTTTCTCCAGCTGGTGGCAGAGACTGCACCACTCAGCTCATCGCCAGCATTGCTGCACAGCAACCAGGATCACATTTCTTTAAGCATCTCTGAACAAACTGCTCTACTATCTGTCTCTGTCAAACTCTTTGCTGAATTTCTAGTCAGCAGCTAAATGTATATCCCCACCATGCAGGAACAGCAGGTTGTTCTGGATCAGCAGAAAGCTAGTGACTGAAGAGGCAGGGAATATCTAATTCTGAACCAGTCTAGAAAAAGCCTCAGTCAGAAAGGCACTGTTATCTGTGGTTGTTTCTAGAAGTGACAAGAAGCACAATCTGAAGAAAAATAATAAACAGAACCAACACCAAAGTAACTAAAAGGCCAAATCTGGGTTACTGGTGAGAAGAGAGCTACAATGTGAGTGGTGTAAAAGCCGTGCTGGTGGTAACAATACCTACCTTTACTACAGGTCATTGCTCAGTAGAATTCTATCCAATCATCATTATTGTTCAGGTGTCAAGGCAGGTTGTAGGGTAGTCTACAACTTCCTGTATTCCCTGTATGCAGTTGTCTGTCATTATTCAGTGAGAGCTTTTTATCACTCAGTTTTACATGTGTAGGAATTAAATGTTTGAGTCACAGCTAGTCCCTCTGAGCTGTCTTTAAAATCTATGGAAAGAAATAAGTACTGCTACTGTGTGCTTCATCTGGCTTACTCACACACCAGTCTTAGGGTGGTATGATTAATCCTTTAGAGACAGCTATTTCTTTGTATCTTTCATTTATAGTTAATTACACTGGTTCTTTTCA